AAAAACTGTTAAAACTCATAATTTAAAACATATTAGTTTTTGAAAAAAATCTGTAGAACCGTTTTTTTAATTAATGAAAACATGGTCATTTTTCATGTTTTTTCACTGTTCCCATGTAAAACTTCAAACTTTATCAATTTTTATCTTGAAAATGATACGGTAAAATTCAATAAAATTTGAACAACACATGTAAAGTGATGTCAATAATACATCTTAAAAATTTTTTAAAAATCTGTAGAAAATCGATTTTGGGATGAACCTCCTTAAGTTCCTTTGATATTCTGAAACGATTTTGTAAATTATTTACATTATGTGGGTATCACGCAATACCGAGCAAAATAGCGTGTTTAAGGGGATGTGCAACACTTTTTTTGGGGTGATGTGCAACTTTCTCTTTTCGTTAATTTTTTGCTATTTTATGATTTAATTTGTGTATAAGAAATAGATAAAAAATCAAATAAAAAAAGATTTTCTTGGGTGAAATTTTTAATTGAGAAGCTAGATCATTGAACCGACATTTGATTTTTTCGAAGACATAGGAGACAGCAAAGAGTTCTTCTATTCAACTTCTCAATTTTCAGTGTTTGATTGCATCATATTAAATTTTTTCACCCGACTTCGATTAATTGTAATTTCAGAAGCCCAAATTTATCAGTTAAATCGAATTATGTCGATATTTATTCATTTTTAACTTAAATTTTACCTATGTCGCACATCACCCCAAAAAATTTTGAAAATGACAAAATGGACGATTTTGAAAATACGAAAAAACTTAAGGACAAATCAAAATTCTGAAAATCTAATAATTTATATTTACAGTATTTCACTTCCTCTAAACAATAGAATCATAACATATTAAAAAAATTGATTTTTTAAAGTGTTTTCCGATCAATGAAAAAAATGTTGCACATCACCCCACGACACCCTACAAGATACTGCAAGATTTTGACATTAAACAAATTGAATAACAAATTCAAGTTTACTTCGCTTGACTGGAAACCAAAAACTGAAACCGTCCATCTTTGGACAAATGACACCAGTTTCTGGACGCCAATAAAAGTTGTTTATAAACATAGTATTGACTAAATCATTTTAGAATATTATTATATGATAAATAAATGAGAATATTACGATGTGAATCTATTGGGATTGCCTAAACTTCAATACACCATCTGGAATTTACATACTTCTGACTACCATTTTCTTTTTTCGCCTTTGTTTAATTAACACGATAGAAAGAGAAATAAAAACCAAAATGTCTGACGAAGTAGGTAAAAGTCACTAGACGCCAATCTCAATTTGAAATAAAAAATTTAGATAATTTTACTAACTGAAATAAAAATGGCTCTATTTATGTTTGGACCCTCGCCCCTCGTAAAAAAATTGACTGAATAAACTGGGTATATCATTTAGACTAACAAAATCATAAAGTCTTTCTCCATCGAAATAAGTACAAATTCAATGAACACAATTGCGATTACCACTAAAAAGTATTTGACTATGCTTTTCAACTATTTGAATCGCCATAATATTATATTACATTTTTTACTTAAAGTGACATACCTTTCTCTGTTCGCCATGATTTCTTAATTCTTAAATCTTATATAATTCATGAAATCATAAGCATATGTAGATAATTTTATATAAATTACAAAAAATCTGTTACCTGCTTTAAAAAAACAATTTTAATCCAGAAAAAAAAATTTCTTCAAACACAAGAAATTAATTATCGAAGAAGAAAAATAAATAAGTAAATTCACTTTGTTAAATAAACAACACATTAAATAAAAAATTGTCAACAAAAAATTAGGAAAAAGAAATAAATTTTCTTTATAACACGAACTACACTTCAAAAAAAATAGTCACACAAAATAATCATTTACAGTTAAAAATCCTAAGTTTCTTTACACAAAATACGCTTAAACGTTTAATGTATTTTTGCTCATGCAAAGAATTTTCAGCTGCGAGAGGGGACAATGAAAATCGAGCCTGTCCCCTTATACTATTGAATATCTTTATTATTAAATATATGGCATTGAGAAATTAATACTAATATTTTTTTTCTTCCATTAAAAATATAATAAATTAATTAATTATATTAATATAATTGAACAAGAAAAACAAATAATTTAAGTTTATTAAAAGAATAAAATGCATGTTTAAAGTTAGGAAAAATAATAAGTCAATAAAAAAACAGGATGCTATTTTTTAAACCAATAAGATAGCCGTTACTTTCCATCTTTTATTCTTTCTCTCTCGGCAGCAAATATCGTTAAATTAAAATATTATTTAATATGTATATTTTTTTAATAAATATATTAAAAACAAAAGAAGAAATAAATTTTTTTATTACATGAATAAAAAAATAACTAACAATTTAACGTTGATAAGAGAATAAAATGTATATTGAAAGTTAGGAGAGATAAACAGCCAATAAGAAAACAGGACACCCTTTCGTCATTATTATTAATTATTATTAACCAATAAGATATAAGTTACTTTCCTATCTGTCCCTCCTACGCTTCTTGTCTTTGTCGCCAAAAAGATAGTAGGGATGCGGACGGAATGAAATTAATAATAATTAATAATATTAATATTACATACATAAGAGGTAAACTTCTTCTAGCGTACTAAGTGATAAAAAAAGTTGATTGGATCGGGCTGTAACTTGCTCATAGTTTAGCCCTAGGGTTGAGTACTTTAACTACGAAGTATTGTTAGCTATTTTTAAAAACTGTAGGAGAGGGAGGGGGTTGAATTTTTTAGAAAAATTTATACAGTTAATTTTTGAAGATTAGTAACTTCCAAACAGAAAGAAGAAAGAAAATTTATCATATATGTTTTCGAAAGGTTTTTTCCTGCTCTTTCGAATGGTGCAAAATTTTTTTAAAAATTCAAATTTTGACCCATTTTTTGGAAAATCAAAATTTTTTTTGACTTTTTTTTAAGGTCGATCTTTTTTTTCTTTTTTTGAAAGTTAAAAATGTATATTTTCACCACAAAAACATTGAGATATTCTTTTTTGTTATTTACAATACAATTATTGATTTAAAACATTTCGAGTTAAAAACTCATTTAAATTAATTAAATTTTTTGAAAAAATTAAGAAAATTTTAATTCATTTTGGGTGTAACATATACTTTATATATACGAATCGATTCGTTTCAATGCAAGGAATTCAATTATTTTATGTATTAACTTGAATTTAAAAAAACACAAAATTTTTTAGCTAAAACATGAATTTTTGATTTTTAAATTTTTATTAATTCTTAAAATTTAAATCAAACCTATAATTTATATATACCAATTGATTCGTTTTAATGCAGGGAATAAAACTATTGCATATATAAACTTGAATTTTAATAAACACAAAATTTTTTAGCTAAAATATAAATTTTAGATTTTTTAACTTTCATTATTTCATTAAATTTCAATCAATACTTTAAATATACCAATCGATTCGTCTTGATGTAAGAAAGACGATTATATTATATATTACCTTAAATTTTTCTATTTAAAAATTTTTTCAATTAAAAAAATTTTTAGAAGAAACACGATAACATTTTTTTGGGTTTTCTTAAAAATCCTCTTGTCATTTTTGAGAGATTAATGCGATAAATAAGCCTTCCAAATTTTATCCAAATCCATTAAAACCTGTTAAAGATATGGTGTTCACAAAACGATCCACACTCACATACACACACAAACATACATACATCCGGACAATTGATCTGGATCTCATATAACATGTTTCTATATAGAAGAAAATTTGTTTTCACCATGTTTAAAAATTTTATAAACGAAAGGACTACAAAGCTTCCTCCACGAGGAAGCAATAGTACACGATGTGTATATGTTACGGTAAATGTACATAGTTGGTAAATGTATACATTTACCGGTAAATGTGCACATTTACCAAAGTAGACGTTTGTAGGTTGGTAAATGTGAGTATAGATAATATAATCTTTAGTTCTGTCCACTTTTACCGGTAAATGTACACATTTACCAAGTCGGTTTGGTAAAAGTTAGAAATCAATTAAAACTCAAAAGTAAGAAAGGTAGTCTGAATTAAAAAAAAAGAGAATAGAAAGTGAAATAAATTAGAGGTGAAATTAATTTTTTTTCTTTACCAACGGTAATTACGTCAAATTGCGTTTTAATCGACGAAAATCAATATCACTTTTAGTTTTTTGTTTTACTTTTGCACCATACACTTCTTGAATTATTCTTAAATAGTCTTGTCTGGATAGTAAAACATCCTAGTGGGCAAAAACCATCATTTCATGTCTGCCAAATAACGTTCCAAGAACGTTCTATGTTTCTAAAACGTTTTAAAAACAATGAAACGTTTTTGGGACATTATTTGGCGACATGAAACGTTCTAAAAACGTTTATAGAACGTTTTTAAAACAATGATGGTTTTTTGATCACTGGGATTATTTTTATTTTTTTTTTAAATATAATTTTTGCTGCACATTCATTAAATTTTTTTTTCATTTCCATAATATCAGTCATTTTAACTTCACGAATAAAAATTGTACTTGTACTTTTATTATCAATAGCAAACTGAAATAATCACTGAAGTTGACAATATTCAAACAATTGATCATTGTACTTACTAACCTTTCATTTCTGTGTATTATTTTGATTCATAACTAATTGAAATCGATATAAAACAAAATATTTACATTTACCAACATACGATGGTTACTGTGCACACTTACCAATTTTCTTGGTAAATGTACAAAATTTCTTCATTGAATATGGGATTATTCACTTTTACCAAACAACATGGTCAATGTGCACATTTACCGGACTGTGTACATTTACCGTAACATATATAATTTCTAATATTTTTGCTTTTTCGTTGAAACGGCTACTTATAATAATTTGAAACGATAAGGGTTAATACGGTTATTTGGTTTTAAATGTTTTTTTAAATTTATTAATGAAATAATTTTCGAAATTTTTTATTTATTAAAAATCTTTGTTTCTTTTAGATCCCATGGTATCAGCACTACGAAGAGAACAATCAGGAAAATATGGTTCTCAAGCGTCAGATGATGAGCCTCTTTACGACAGTGTCGCATCTGACGATGACTATACAAATTTTGCTTCTGATAGTATAACACGACTAACCAGTGCGTCTAATTTGGATAACAAGGTAAATAATTAATGGTCCCGATCAAATAACTCAACTGATGCTCGGACGAACGCTCTAATAGTAGACGGGTAGCAGTGAGCCGCCCACAGACTGTCACTGCTACTTGACTGGTAGTTGAGCGTTCGTCCGAGTGTCACACAGTGGTCTGAAATTTCAATTAAGTGCTTAAAATCAGGTACAGGTCACAAATCTTAACTGATTTTAATGTTCTTTTTTTAAAAATAATTAGCGATAAATTTTTAAGAAAACTGTCGATTTCGATTTTTAAATTATTTATTCATAAAATTTATAAATAAACAAATATTGTACAAAAATTTACTTCTTGAAAAGAACCTTATGTTTTTTACTTTAAAAAACACCTAGATGCACTTATTAAAAAGTAAAATCATATAAAGTAACATTTTAAGGTATAAACATTTAAATAAATGTGTATCACAAATATAATGTCAAATTGGCAGATTGATAGCTGTCAAATCATTTTCTCCACGAAAATGACATTAATATGGTTTTTAGCGTCACTGATCACAAATGTGATTTCAAATTAGCACACTTGTAAATTTTCGAATTTTTTTATTTGTTTCTCTAATTCTTCATCCAATTCTTTGTCTTCTTTTTTCCATTCTGGCCTTTTAGATGCAATTAAAAGATCTGAGGAAACAAAAAGTTTATTCATTAAATCTTCCATTGTGTGATAGCGAGAGATTTTTCTAGTACTGAAATGTTGAATGTATTTTATGTCTTTCTTTATTTCGGGCCTCAGAGGCTTCTTTAGGATACATTCCAATTGGTAGAAAAATTTTCTCATGACTTTTCCCCCATGAACAAATATTTTGCGAAGTGAAGAAGGCATGTAAAACCATGGATACAGCGTGACGTAAAGTTCTGCGTTTTTTAACCCTAATTCTTCGAAAAAAGAGGGCGAGATTTTTCTGCTGCTAGACAGCATTTGCAGCGTTTGAGAAAATCTTTTAATCAATTCTTTATCTACTTCAGTTATTTCTGCGGTTTGGTCAATATCAGTAAAAAAGCTTCGTGCTGTGTTACCACAGTTCCAATTGCCTGATCCTTGAGTTGGTTCATCAATGATTAACCCTATTCTTTCTTTATATTCTCTACAAATTTTTATTTTTGCAATTTTCATTTTTTCCTTATCAGCCTGTCGTACTTACCACTTGCAAATTTCTAAGCAAGTAAAGTAGAAAGACCGAAATTCATGAAATCTTCCACTTCCGCCTTTTCCTTTACACGCTGTAGATTGTTCATTTCCGACGGCTTTGCTCCACAGATGTAACAAGAAGAACTGGATGGAGTATCGGACAGAGTTTGACAAATTGTTTCATCAACCATTGTTAATTTCATGTTCGTTTCTATCCACAGTTCAAAATAATAGTTGTTGGTTCCAGATTGTCAATTTGTGTTTGAATTTTTTTTATTTCAAACTTTGTTATTTCAGAATTTTCCTTAGCAAATTTCAGCATTATTGGTATGCAACGTTTTGGTGAAGAAGTGTGTGGATTCATCCAAACAACATTTGTAGTATCTTTTTGCTTAAGACAGATAGGTACCATTGATGATGTAAGAATCGATGCATCGGATAAATTTTTATTATCAAACTTTTGGTTATATCTTGATGTACTCGATAATCCATCGATGCCATACTTAATTTCGAAGTCGAAATAGAAAATTTCAGAACTGTTGGTTGACACTGGAGGGCTCAAACTTGCATTTAAGAATAACCTATTAACCGTATATTTAATAAGAGACTGAATTTTAACATTACCTCCTTCTTCAGTTATATAAATATTAAAAGGATAGCATTCTTTTTTAGCCTCTAATATATTTATATAGGAAGGGTAAATATTAACATTTCTTTGCTTGGCCTGCAAACGAATAAAATTATATTGATATTTTGAAAGTTTGATTTGCTCTATTAAAGCCAAAGCTTCTTCTGGAGAGTATTGTTTACAGGAATTTAGATCAGATTTTTCGGTAAAATGTATACCCTCAATATTATTTTTATTTAAAATTGCAATTATTTCATTTGCAACTGTCTTTTTTCCACTTATTCTTAAGTTTCGCAAAAAGCTTCTTGTATTTCTTCACTTGTGAATTTTTCCTCAATTGATATTAATTTTCTTCTTTTTGGTGAAATTGAAGTCTCTTGAAAAGAGGCTTCACTACTTTTCTTTCCTGATTTTGTTTTAAGATCTGTAAATGAAACAACATCAGTGCTCAGCAAATTTTTCAAACTTTTTGTTAAATGTAATGCGTAAATATTGTTTCCATTTTTCTTCAAATCTTCTGAAAAAATGCAAATTCAGAGGATGTTTTACAACATCTATTTGATCCGGAGCAAGATAATGATGCTTTTGTATTGAGAGGCATATTGAGTTACGCATTGATTTGATATCGAACATTTTTGGCATCTATATATGATTGTCCCTTATTTTGTATGTCATCGACAGCGTTTTGTAAATGTTGCATTTGATTCAAAAGAATAACAACTATATTTATTGCTAATGTAAGATATTTATATTCCATCTGCAACATTGCATTTTGAATCTATTGTGAGTACTTTGCGTGTCTGTGTACTTTTAAAAATTGACAGATCTTCAGCTGCAATATCCATGAGGATGTTTGTTGATTTTATTCGTTATTTTTCCATTTTGAAGAATTTCCTGTGAAATTTGATAAATCGGAATTATGACGTTTTTCATAGGGCTTTATAACTTTCGTAGTTTGCTATAACATTGGTAACTATTTTTATTAAGCTATCAAACGCGGAAGTGTTATGTAAAATTACATTTTGGTGTTAGAGATAAGTATTTTGTTTTTCTCTTTTTCACAGGTATTTCGTCTTCTCTTCCCACACCTCTCCAATTTTCATTTTCATTTAATATATTGTACTCTAATTCCTGACTGTTATTATTAACATCAGTTCTGGAATCTGATTCCACTGGCGTGGAAGTTTCTCGTGGAACATTATTGTTAGCATTAGTGTTAAAATCTATTTCCATTGGCGTAGAAGTTTTTCGTGGAGGTAATTCACTTAAAAAAGATTCAAAAGTTCCTATATTTATTGTAGAAGTAGAGTCTGGTTCTCCAGGTAAAATTTCATATTTCTCCTATGAAACAGGCCTTGAATTACCGTTTGTCTAAGGTTTTTTTTTACTGTCAGCGACAATAATTTTTTTAGGACCTGTCTTCGACTCTGCTAATTTAACTTTTTATCCAAATATTCAATATGAAGAAAAGAAAATTAGTCTATCCGCATTTGTCGTGTAAAATATTTTTTTCAAATCAGCAAATTCTGACTTTATAGGGGCACATGTTGCTATTACTCTATCACGTTGAAAAAAATATCTCATAATGCCAGTTCACAAAGGTAATACACACATTAACTTTTTTTTATTTTATTTGCTGCAGTCATATTAAAAAAATCCATTAACGATTGATCCACTATTTGATGCAGTTGCTTTTTGCATGAGAAATGAAGAAGAACTTCCAGTAAAAGATTTGTTTATTAGTATTTAAATCTTTCTAAGTCGACACAATATGCGAATCACTTACTCACATTCAAGTCACATTTCAAATATATGATTTCACGTCTATTGATATTAACGATCGATCCAAAAGTGCCATGTGCCCGACAAGCACGCAGTTTTACGGCGTCCCGTTAAACGCATGCGTTTCATTTATCATGGATCTCCAGGATCGAATTGATAACCAAAAGGACCCTAAATGTCGACTTTATTCAAAATTTGAGTGTTAAGTTTCAATAAAAGAATTTTCTGTCACAATTTCAATCTGATTTTCAAGAGTTCTAATAGGTATGCTGTTTGACCCTCATTAAGGAATATTTGAAATTACAAAAAATATAAATATTATTAAATTGAATTTCATGAGTTCTTATTAGTGTTCTGTTTGACACGGTTTGAGTTACAAGAGTTCTGATGAGAGTTCTGTTTGCCCCTTATTAAGTTATATGAAAAACCCTAACAAAATTTTATTCTTATCTCAAAATTAAAGAAATTGTACAAAAACGCACAAGAAGAAAATTGGGATTCTGACTTATGCATTGATGTAGTATCAAGTTTAGCCAATAGATTAATTTTACCACATGGCAAGAAAAGTTCAGCAGTATTTTTTTATTCTTGTGGTTTTAGATCGGAAAACATTACTTTTTCAGCTTTCTAATTATGTTGACCACAAAGCAAGATACGGTAAGCATAGTAAAGTTTTCTAATGGAATAAAAAACGCGTAAAATCGACTTAAACTGTAGTTTCTGATTTCGGAGATGAGATTTTAATTGCAGTGGCATATGTGTCACAGCTGAATGTGACAATTGTCAGGACTACTTAAGCCGTAGCTACCAAATAATAATGTCAGTAGGTATCCCCTTGTTACCGACAACTTTTAGTCGATTGGATATAAATTATTTTGTTCAAGCAGTATGCAAATGGCCATATTTACAAAAGCGATTACCAAAAACTCGAGAATTTTCAATTACAACTTTTTGCTATATTTACAAGTGCGACAACTTTAAAGAAGTAGAACCTACGTTGCATGATCTTCTCTCTGTGTTATTAACCCATATAGGACAGAACATACTGTTCGAGTAGTTAAACACTAATTTTCACATCGCAAATAAAATATTAGAATATCATACATTATTAAGCAACTACCGTAAAATGAGGTAAAGTCGGCGTTTGAGGGTAAAGTCGGCCGGCGCTTTAAATCATTTTAAAGTTTAACTATTACTTTTTTCCAGAAGAAATCTGAGTTTTATTAAAAATGTAGTTAGAATTTATGTAAATTAATAAATGAAATACAATATTTAAGTGTTTAAAGCGCCGGCCGACTTTACCCGCAAACGCCGACTTTACCTCAGTTTACGGTACATTTTTAACAACGACAAGTGGTTTACTTTCAAGTTTTTAAAGAACCAAAATTAATAAACAATTACAATAATTCCAACAAATCTTGGCATCACTTTAGT